TACCAGGTAGTGGGGGTCCTGAGAGCCCCTAGGATCCTAGGGGAGTTCGGAAAATTCTGAATCTGTTTTGGGGGTCCAATTAAATAATTAGGACCGTCCTTTTTTGACCTTGGAGTTTCTGTCAGGGGTGTCTGAGGAACCATTTTGAGGGGGCTTGTCACACTGGACCCTCGGCCCTATAGCCTCCTTCTTTGCTGATAAGCCCACCGGCCCCCCCGGATTTAGATGTTCCCCGCACTACAGTGGTACTGTATTAGGAGTTGGGGCTTACATTAAAAAAGGGGGACGGGATTCTCAATATCAGCATTCATGGAGCAGCTCTAGGCCCCAAATCTAGTGAAATCCCAATCCACCATCTTGATCCTCATTGAACCTCATATCACCCACGGTTAATTAATGGGTTCAAGGCTCGATGTGAAGTGTCTGACGTAAGCATCCAGGGATGTTCGCCATTCCTGGGTGATGCCTCCCGCTTGCTCCACGGTCCTCCGCAAAGCACTTTTGCTGCTTGCGCACCCATTTCAAGGCATCTTCATTCATGCAGGCGCGTTTAGGTGTTTAAAGCTGAAGCTTTGCGCCAAAACCCAACCCCAACCCAAACCTAAGTGGCACGAGGCATGCGAATAAGGAACTGGCTGGCTCCAGGGTCCTCCATCCATAGGGCGTTAGAACAAACCTGGGTTGCTTGAAGTAACTCAAATTACGTTACTATATTCAGGAAAGCCTATAGCTTACTCTATATATATATATACCCATTATGGTATATGAGTCTAACCCTAATCCCTAAATTCCTTAACAGCAACCCAGAAACTTGGGGCCTGAGTCGCCGCCTTCATCCTGGGCTACTTCCTGGGCTGCTGCTGGGAAGTTGTGCAAAAAGCTTCCCTTGCAGGGAGTTTAGGGGTTTAGGGTTTACGTAGGGGTTTAGGGTTTAGGGTTTAGGGAAGCGTGTTTGCAGGGAGTTCATATGGTTCAACCCACGAAACTCTAACCACAAAAATCCAAACCTCAACATAAAAACCCTATCTATAATAGTTTCCATTTTATTTTCCATGATCCCTATATAACTCTATAGTACCCTATATAAACCTTTTCAGTAATCCCCACAAGCTTGATTTGAGCCAGCTTCCGCAGGCCCCGCACCCGACTTTCGGGTGGAATGGGGTACCAGGAGGCTCCCTGCCTCCGCGATCCACTTGAAGCCGCCGGACAACGGAGGGGCCCCACCACTCCCATCAAAGGACACAGAGAACCTGGATCATAGTTGGGAGAAGGTATTAGAAGACTGATTCTTTGGCTTGGCTTGCGCTCAAATGTGGTACAAAACCATATACTCTAAACTCAGCTTTCCAACATTAGCAAAGAGGCGTAGCTTCTTTGGCATAAACGTGGGGAAACAGAGGCTCGCCCGAGAGTTCCTTACCGAAAGTGAACGCGTCTCCCGGGATTTCTCGGCCGTTCCTTATGGCGTTCAGTGCGTTCGTGGAAACAATATCCCCACCCTAAACCCTAAAATGTTGTGGAGCCTAGAGCACTAGGGCTTGGTAAGGCTTGGTATTATTACAGGTTCACATTTGGCGGTTTGCCTGCGCACCCGAACCAAAACAGGTTGAAGGTTAATAATTTGAATTTGAAGGTTCTTGAAGTAAAGAATGGCACGTCTCTCAAGATCCAGGCAGCAGGTGATGGCATCGTCCTGAAGGGAGGGAATCAACGGACAGGACTACCAGTCCAACAATCCCTAAACCCTACATCCTGCACATGTATATATATATATGTATAGATATACCCTATTCTAGTATACCATTTACCGTTTACCTTTTTCAACCCCTATATACTCCCTATAATCGTTTTTTTGTGTCTGGGCTCCACGCATTCAACAAATCTTACACCCCAGATCCTACTCCTCAGTCCAAGCCCCTAAACCCCAAACCCAAACCCGTCCTTGCCAAAGGCCTAAACCCTAAACCCCAAACCCTCAACCCCAAACCCAAACCCGTCCTTGCCAAAGGCCTAAACCTTAAACCCCAAACCCCAAACCCTCAACCCTCAACCCCAAAACCAAACCCGTCCTTGCCAAAGGTTTGGCCAAACTTTTCGAAGTTGCCAGCATGGGATTTGGTAGCCGTTCCACCGAAGCCCCACGAAAACCTGGCTTTAGAGTCTACGAACTCTCCCCAAGTTATCACTAAGGGCGGGTTCTGAATCTTTTGATGTATATACACATTAACATGGCTTCGAAGGTCCCAGCCTGGAAATCCGTATACTTAAGGTCCAACCTGACTGATCCCCGCAAAGACGTGAGTCCTAGACCCGCAGATGCCGAACCCCCAACCTCCAGGCAGACAACCCACGCACGAATACCGCGAAAAAAACCTACTGCAAGCCCCGGTCCCCAAAGCCCAACATTTCAGGATGCCCGCCTGTCTGTCCCAAGTGCCAACTTGGCGTTAGCAGTCGACCAGCCAATGCGAAGATTACCGCCAGTCTCCTGAAAAAGAGTTTGGAGATTTTACAAGGTCGAAGGGTTAGGGTTTAAGACTTTCAACACGACTCTGGCACTGCAGCCGTGGCAAGTCCCGGTGTGGGGGTTGGGCTTCAAGTTCTGGAAACAAAGCTTCTTCCTTTTGAACATGTCACTTCTAAGGATCCTGAGAAACCCAAACTGGCTTGCTGTTAAGGAGTTTAAGTTAAGTTACTATAACAAGGACACCCTATGATTTCCTATATGCTCATCTTATGTCTTTATGGTAACTTAGTTTAAGGTCCTCAACAGCAATCTGGAAAAGGGCAAATCTGAAACGGCTCCCAGAGGAATATCCCAGTGGCGTTCCAGACGCAGAAGGCCCACAAGCCCTCTCCGCCAACACCGCAGTCCCCACGGACGCCCGCCCACTGCCTTGCTGATGCCATCCCCAACCCCCTTGGACCCCTTTTTGGATCTGGTCCCTATTCATACGAAATACGGTAATGCAAGAACAACGAGTTGACATCCCCAAACCCTAAGCCCAACACCCGCAAGTCCGCAACTAAGTACAAGTAAGCTGCGTCCCACTGTCGGTTTTCCTCCTTGCACGCTCCCTTGTGCCGCTGCCAGTGCTACCCATAAGAAGCCTCGGCCGCACAAATGGGGCATTGAAATTGCCATGAAGATTCTCATGAGCCATTGTCTAGGTACTACAGGATCCTGGCTTGCAATGCTTCGAGGGTTTAGAGTTAAGGGATCAGGGAGAGACCAGCGAAGCACTGCGATGGAAGCTAATTACGCAGAGTGTTTTAAGTTGAGGCATGCTACCTAACTACCGCAAAAGAGTATAGGCTACTAGAGGATATATTCTGGTAATAACTGGAGTGCTTCCTAAGACTTGTCCCTAGATCCCCTGTACCGCCGCCCATTGTGAAGAGCCGAAACCCAAAACCCAAATCACAAAACATCACAAAACCCTACACCCTCAACCCTATTCCTTGAGCCCTGAACCTGATAAAACTCTATGACTCCCTTCACCCAAGGACTCTCCCTCTTGAGGGGTATGGAACGCTGCTGTAGAGGACGAATTCATCAGGATATTCCCTAGCAAATCTGACATGCTTATAATACAGTGTACCCCCTTCTATAGATTGAGACTTTAAGCCCTAAACCCCACTCTTACTTCTTTCAGCTCGCTCAAGCATGAAGTAGAGTGGCAGCCCGTTCTCGCAATCATTTACATTGAGCCGGATGCTCTCCCCCGGTTGCAAGGCCTCACCTGGCGAAATTGGGTGGCTAAGGGCTTAGGGATTAAGATAGTGATTCAGGATTTCGGGATTCAGGGTTTAGAGGTTAGGGTAGGGCTTAATTTAAGTGCGTTTGTAAGTTCCAGTAGCGCCGATACCGCTACTTTGACGGAAAAACGGGTAGCCCGTCTTTTGAAACATGACCCACCTGGCCCCGACTTCGCTGGCGGAGGTCCATTATCCCGGCTCTTGCCTTGAATATGGTTGGGCTACTTTTGTTCAAGTTCCTATATCTGTACCTATATGTAGATGTGTACATATATATATACACATATAGGATTTGGGCATAACAGAAGCATCTAAAATGCTGTTCAACAGCAACAGTTGCCTTTGCCACCTCCTCCTCCTCCTCCTCCGCCCTTGCTGTCGCCTTTGCTATCGCCTCTGTCGTCCTTGCCGGAAGACTTGCCCTTGCCGCCGCGCTTGCCATCTTTACCTGGAAGTTGGCTGACCGGGTTGCAGCTGAACCACTGTAGGGATACCATAGGGTTACCATAGGGATATTCTAGGGTATTATAGGGTTACCATTGTAGGGTATTATAGGGTTACTGTAGGGATCCTATAGGGTTACTGTAAGGTTACTCTAGGGATATCATAGGGTATTATAGGGATACTATAGGGGTACTGCGGGGATATGATAGGGGGTATTATAAAGTCATTACCTGGAAGCTCGCGTAGATTTCTCCCGGTGGGGAAGAGACAAGGACTGACCAACTTTAGCGGAACCCGTACATTCATCCCCTATAATACCTTATAATATCCCCAGAGTAACCCTGTAGTAACATAGTGGCCCTATAGTAGCCCTATAGTAACCCTAAGAAAACTTTGGGACGTCCCGACCTCCATCTCGCCAGTTGTCGTCGCTCCATCCACCGCCACCACCTTTCCAACCAGAGTTCCAATTATTCCACCCCCAGCCAGACATCTGGGCTGTGATGAGGCTGAAGGCTTGCTGAAATTCCCTGATGCTCTTTTGGCATTTGAAATAAACGGCAACTGTACGGATGGAAGGCAACGGCTATTGCTGCTATGGACGTGGATATGCTGCGCCACAACACTACTGCTGTTGGACATTTTTCTTCATGCATGTCGCCTATGCAGCGTATCTGTCTTTTAGTCAGCGCCTCCTTTCTGAGGCTCGGCAAGATTTCTTGTGTGAAACTTATCAGATCGAAGAGGAAATTAGCTTCCTAAAGAAATCCTTCCTCTCGTCACGCTGGGGATGGGCTAATCTGGCGGCCACATCATGTTGAATCACTGGTGTACGCAGTATGATGAGCTTTCATAAGCTGACCCATGCTTTGCAGTGTCCGAGACTTTACAAGACTGCCCCTGCCGCCAAATGCCGCGATGCATTATCCATGGGACCATGGTGCGTTTATCCGTACTGCGCCAAAGCCGTCTGAATGTTTGAGATGGCCGCGCTGCAAGTATGGAGGGCACTGATGAGGAGCTCAACTTGAGAGAGCATGTCGGAGAGCGGCGTGTTTCCGCGGGCTGTACTTGCAGCCATGCGCATCTTCACCACTAACTGCTGGAAGGACTGCTTCCTGGGGGCTTCCAATTTTAGAGGTACCTCTCTGGGGGTACCAAGAATAGGGATTATTGGGGGGGATATCTGAGGGGGGCCCTCCCTCTTTGGAAACATCTTCCTGGACCCCACAGCTGCCAGGAGACCCGACAACCTCCTGGTGCTAGCATGGTGCTTCGGATTTGACTGTGGAGTAGTCGCTGACCTGGGTGCTTGCTTTGTACTCCTCTATATATACATATACATATGTACATATACATATATATATAGATATAGATGTCTGCCCGTTGCTGTCCTCAAGGTACTCCAATATTCAGAAGTCCCAAAATCCTGAGCCCTACATATAGTCCCGGTTAAAGGTCCCTAAGGCTGCTTTGACAAATCCTATAAACCCCCAAACCTCTAAACCTCCAAGCCCAAGATAATATGTAGAAGTTTCCCTTTTTTCTCCCTTATTACGAAGTCGCAAGTAAGGCTGTTTTGAGAAATCCCCTAAACCCTTCACCCTAAACCCAAAGTAATACATGGTAGTTTCTAAATCCCATGATCCCTATTTCACCCCAATATACTGTATAGTAGCTTCCATTTTCTTTTCCATTAGCCCATTATTATCCCAACCCTAAAACCTAAACCCTATACTATAGTAGTTTCCATTTTCTTTTCCATTATCCATATTGGTAAGTCCCAAGTTATCGATGTTTTGAGACGACATCCCCGACCTGAGGGCATCCTCCCCCCGATCCAGAATAGACTGGCGAAGCTCAGCGGCTTTACCTAGGTGTCCAGCTCTTCTGGGGTTTTTTACATGCGCATCGCACAGCAGTGCAGGCACGGCAAGTTCTGTCCTGTTCGGCGAAACCCCAATGCTGTCACCCCCATTTAAAGGGTTTGAGGGTTTAGGGTTTTAGGTGTTTTAGGGTTTTTTAGGGTTTTAGGGTTTAGCGGTTAGCGTTTAGGGGGATATGTGGGGATATTTATATAAGAGTATATAGGGAAAATTCAAAAGAGGATGGAAGCTACTCTTTAGGGTGTAGGGTTAGGGTTTAGGCTCCTTAATTGGACCCGCCCCCCACCCTGTAATAGTGGCTACAAGGGATAATAAGGTGTACATTAGGGTCCTTTCGTAGTCCTATTATGTCACTATTACGGGGGTCTTCCTATGGGATATATGGGCAAAAAAGGGGATAATGAGGAATCAAATGGAAAAGGAAATGGGAAATCAAATGGAAACTGATATAGTAGGATGTAACCCAGATTTACCTTTCAGTCTCTGTTGGGCTTATATTACCCTCAAAGTCTAGAGTGTTTAAACCCTAAACCTTTAACCTTAAATCTTCACTGGACAGCTAGGAGTGCCGTTGGTATCATCAGCCCTGGCCGCCTGTAGTTTCCTGGCATACAAGTCCTGCAACATCACCTCAGGGACCCTCTCAAGAAAGGATGGGGTTTTGGGGGGGTCGCACTGACTATATGTAAGGATTGATTCTAGGGATCCCTTTGTGGGGGGATATCTGTAATTAGGGGGCAACTTGAAGAACTACCCGCCTGTATATTGCTGAGCTCATCGGTGAAGAACGTTTCCATCTCCAGCAAGAGAGATTCGAAATCCTTCTGGCCGGACAAGACTGAAGATGAGGTTCCCGAAGACTCAGCAATCATTGCAAAGAGCCACTCCAGAGTACCCAGCTCAGACACAACGGTCCTGAAGGAGCCTTCTAGCTTCTCAAAAAGCTCAGAAGGAAATTCAATTCCTTTTGGCGCCGGTTCTTGTGTCGCACTAGGCAAGAGCCTCTTCAAATCATCAAGATGGTGCAGGACAAGGGCCTCCTCATTGGAAGAGCCGTCAGCATTAGATGCTTCTTTGCGCTGCACGTGGTTTAAGCCCATGACCCGCGAGAGCAGGCCTGCATAAGCTTTAGGGTTTCAAGGTTGAGGCATTTTTGCTGCTTGCATGCCTGAGGTGATTTAATTAGGCTTTAGGGTTTCAGGATTGTTTAAGTTTAAGGGGACTTTCCTCACCTATACCAGATGAAGATAGAAGCCAGGGGCCCCTGCCGAAAACAGCCCATGCTGCACAATCCCGCCAAGTTCTGACATGGTTCCCTGCTAGGTTGAGTACCCCTCAACACTTCCACACAAAGGCCGGGCAATTTAGCCAGGCCTTTACATTTCTTCACAGTGTGCTTGAGCTGCTGCTGGGCTAGGCTGCGAGCACTGGAGAAGAGGACCAAGTCAATGATCAACATGATGGCTCCTGCTTCTGGGCTTTGGTTAGCTAGGAATGAAGGAATGGATCCTTGTAGTAGTCCCTATATAACCCAGTATACTAATTTCCATGTTCTTTTCCATTCCTTCCCCACAAACAAAGGCCAGTTTCAGGGGTTAGGGCAGCGGCTTTAGCAAGCCTGTGCATGATGGCCCCTGGCGTCGGGCTCACGGCTCCAGGAGCTTCAAAGATATGCTGCTAAGATGGGGGGCCCTGTGGTTAAAGCTCTGAGTATGGGGACTTCTCTGGCAATATAACCCCAATATACCCCCAATATTACTCCTACGTTACTATGCTCCTTCATTCTCAATTCGTTCGCAGGAAAGCAGTCCTCCCAGCACGGCCGCCTTTACACTCGAGCCCAGGTAAAGCTCAGCTTGCACATCAACTGAGGCATTGTAATATCGGAAAACGCCTGTCGAAGGCACCTTAGTCCCCATTCCCCTCCCAAGAATCAAGGAGCCCACACCCCAAAAGTGCAAAGGATGCTGACGTGGACCCAGATACCAAGGAATAGACTCCAATTGCCAATGTGGAAAGCGCAACTCCTGCATTGGTCGATGAGTGCAGAATCTGGAAGATCAGCACGAAACCATATACCCACAGCCACAAGGCAAATAGCGAGGCATGGAACTCTGTCTGAACTGCCAAGACCTGGGCTGCGCAGCAATCCCTGGGAACAAGGTACACGCTTTCCTGGACTATGTGTGAGATGGTTCTAGGGACGCAGAAGCCCCCGATTAAGGCTCAAAAAGAAAATGCTACCCCAGTTTCCATTTCATTTTCCATTTTATTTTCCATTTGATTCTCCATTGTAGTAGTTTCCATTTTTTCATTATCCCAATATTACCCCAATGGGTACTACATTCTGGAAGCCCGGTGGTTTCATGCTTTCATCTGGCATCCAGGCTCTGCGCGCTAAAGCACTAAACGCGCCAAGAAAACTTCGGAACTTGGCCTGACCCCTGGGATTGTTGGTACTATGGACCATTGCTAGCATCTTTACTATTGCGAGTTTCAAATGTCAATATCATTACTATTAATCCCCCTGATGGATCCAAAAAATGGAACCCCCAAATATGAACCCAATACTACATTGGGGAAACTAGCAAATTATTGGGAGGTTCCATTTTTTTGGATCCTTTAGGGGGTCTAGGTATTACTCCCCCCTTCTCAAAAAGATGAGGAACTTGGCCCATAGAGTGGCCCAGGACCGTACCCACCACGACCGCATTCAGGCGCCGGGTTATCAAACCCAGGGAGAAGCCTGGAGAAAGGTTCTAGGAATGGCCTCTAGGAATACATGGGTGGTTGTCAAAATTATGGTCCCTTTTTGGATCCCTATTATAATACGGCCCCGAATATTTAGGGTATGCAAAAAGGGACCATAATTTGACCATAATTTTGACAAGCAGCCATATGAGCTACAGTCTAAAGTCCTAGTATCCCCCTTTGATTACAGAATCCCCTCTATAACTTGCTTTAAGGAGTTTAGACTATGGCCTGTATGGAGGCTACACAGGAACTACGGGAAGTCCCGATTACTCCAAAAAAGGCAATGCTGAGAAATCCGCACCTGCTCCAGTGGTGGTGGATACCACGGTGGCAACTGTGACTGCTGCCCCGGAATTGTATGCACTCAGCATTCCTGGAGTATACCATGCTCAGTGCTCTACCCTAAACCCTATAGTCCCCCTTAAGTAGATAGAACATGGCTTTGGGTGCATTTTAATGAGATCCCCGTATACCCCATATTCTATCTACTTAAGGGGGACTATAAACCCTAAGCCCTAAATAACTACTATGTTATACCAAACTAGTCGCTGGGGAATCCTTGCTTGCAACCGCTGCATGCTACGGGAAATTTGCATTATCAGGGATAATCATTGTTGTGCTGCTTAGAGGGCTTAATTTTACTTTTGAAGAGACTTGCACAATCTCTTTTCACACCCCTTACCCCGTTCAACCTTTCCTTAAGGCTTACAATCTTCTTCAACACTGCCAAAGATTCGCTCCAATCCCAGCCAGCCGAACAAAAATGAAAACACAATCGCCAGCGTACTTCGGAGTACGAATCGCTTGTGCGAAGGGTAGTTTCCTCGGTTTGTTGGCCACGGCCATGGGTAGTGTCAAAGATGGGACTCCCATTACGGTATGTCAACAGGGCCCGCATGTTTGAGAGCGCACCACATGTCCGGTGAGCTAGACTCTGCTAGACATGGAGTGTTCTGAAGGTCGTGGGCTCCTTTGTCATCGGAACCTCTGATGCGCTTCTGGGTCTTTCTCAAACAAGACTTGCCAACAATTTCACTTGTCCCAGGATTCAAGATAGTAGACTGCCGAATATGAAACAGAACTCCTGTAATCAACCCTTGCTGATGACCATGAGGACTGCACTAGGCATTCAGACACACCTGGGCTGTAGTCTAAACTCCTAGTATCCCCCTTAATAAGCCCTATACTAGTCCCCTATATAATCCCCTATATAAACCCCTTTAAGGAGTTTAGACAATAGCTCACCTGGGCTGTAACTTCAGTGCTTTAAGCCGAGGATCGTGTTTGAGCCAGTTCCAGCCGGGACGAGAGCTCCACGATGAACCTCAGGCGGCATCTGGGTTTTCCTGGATACGCTTAGTTTGGGTACGGCCCCCACCCAGTAACAGTCTATATTAGGGGTCCCATTAAGGGCTATTTCTATAACCATATTCGAATTATTATCCAACTGTTACTGAGGGGGGCAGTACCCAACACTTAGTCAAGGACAAGTGTCACACATTTCCCCGCCAAAAACTAGATTCCGGCTAGATGTATTCCCCAAACTGGTATCCCAAAGGTTTGAGGCGGGCTTGTCGAAGCCAAGTCTCCTCAGAGGATTGGAAGTTTTCCTGGGTTGCTGCTAAGGAACTTAAATTAAGTTACCATAATGGGTATATAGTAATTAATATGGTTTCCCCAATGTAGTAACTTAAATTAAATTCCTAAACAGCAACCTAGGATCTTGAAGGTGGTGCTGTCCAGCACTTTCAGCCTCGAGATTGTGCCTCGGAGTGTCTGGGGCTACGAGCCCGCCGGGGCCAGAAGTCAAGAGTTATTATTAGGCCACCTCGTGCCACTACCTCATAAGAACAGGTCCCCCTAGGACTATAGTCTAAACTCCTAGTGTCCACCTTCAGAACACCTATCATACTCCCGTGTAGAATCCCGCTACGAATCCCCCATATAGCTCATATACCCTAAACCCTAAATCCCTTAACCCTAACCATAAACCCTAAATCCCTAAACCCTAATACCCTAAACCCTAAACCCTACTCCCTAAATCCCTAAACCCTTAACCCCTAAACCCCTAAACCCTATACCCTAATCCCCTTACAGGGGCAGAAGGACAGAAAGCCTTGCAGGTTGAAACCCCACCGTGCCTGATGCGATGGTGCACAAAGCCAGGGCAAAGCTCATGATGAATCCTGGGTTGCTTAAGTTACCATAATGGGTTTAGGGTTTAGGGAAGTTACCATAATTCTTGGGTGTGCGTGTGTATGTATATATATATATATCTGGGTTGCTTAGGTTACCATAACTAGTGGGTGTGTATATATACATATATGTATATGGGTTGCTTTAAGTTACCATACTTCTTGAGCGTATATATTGGGTTTAGGGTATACCATATGGCTTCCCCAAGTATAGTAACTTAACTTAAGTTACTATATATACCCATTATAGCAACTTAACTTCACTTCCTTAACAGCAACCCAGGGTCCGCTGAGCTCGGGTGCGACCTTTGAAAACTCCACTTCCAATGTCTGCATGGCCTTTGACAATCGGCAGGTTGGGGGGGAGGGGGATCAAAGGTGGGAGAATATAACCCTTTCATAATCCCATATATAAAATAATCTCTATACAGTCCCCATACAGTATAACCCCTATAGAAGCCCTGTATAATATATAATCCCTATATGTAGGGATTCCTACTCCAAGGATGGGTCCCCTCACTTCGAGCAGCCCGCCTCCTGATAATCGTCGATTGCACCTTCATCTACGCACTCGCCAGGGACAGGCACCGCCCGGGCAGCGCCAGAACACACGTCCTGAATGGAGGATAGAGCGGACGCAAACTTGTGCGCATCAGCCTCCGGCAACCTCAGAGCAAGTCTGGGCTTGCTCTTCTTGTTCATAAGGGATATTTTGCCACTTGCAAGGCTGAGGCGAAATCGCAGTCAAATGGGATTTTAGTCTCCTGGGTTTCGGTTTGGTTTGGTGCTTCTTTGATGTTGAGTTTCAGTGCTGGACCCAAAGAGGGTAAGAGGTCAATGATCGTGCAAAAGCAACCACCGGGCCTTTGACCACACAGAGCTCCCGAAAGCCTCGCGCACAACAACCGGGCCAACCCGCATAACAACAGCAAGAGATCCAGCATGCAACCCTGCCATATTGATAGTTTCCCTAAATGGGGGCAGTCCTTATTCTGGAATCCCCCAAAGTGGTACCCCTAATTTCAGGAAACCCCCATATCGGGCTGGCGCAGGCTGGTGCAGCAGGCTTGCGCTGCAGGTAACAGGCAACAGCTTTGCCACTTGCATGGCCGAGGCATGATTCCCTTGTCCATGCACACGAGTGCCATCCGTGAGTGGAGATGTACCCAGCGCGCACGGCTCCCAAAGAACTCAGAGCTCCGTTATCTGGCTTTCGTGCCCAGGCTGTAACACTGCTGTAGCTATCTTATCATTGCTTATTACTCCACTCATTCCGACAACACATGCAGATCTGTTCTTCGCATGAGGTGATCAGAGCAGAGCACATCCGTGAAACCAGAGCTCAAGGAAACACTATGTTGGGGTTATAGGGACAATGGAAAAGAAAATGGAAACTACTACATTATGGATTTATGTAGGGGTCATATTGGGTCTATATAGGGTGTTCTTGTAAAGGAGCACATCCAGCGGATGGAGGCGCTGCTTGACATGAGGCCCATAAACTGACAGCACGTAACGATGCAAAACCCTCACTTATCACGTCAACGCTCTTGGTAATTTCCCCCAAAAAGGGAACCCCAATACGGACCAAAACATCTATAATCCTAATTATGGAGACCCTCCAAAAACTACCCCTAATTTTGGGAAACCCCCTCTTACACCTGGGCAGCGGGCTCAGTCGGTGCATGGGGCCAGGAGGGCAAGCGTAGGTCGGAGGCTGATACGACAACAGGATGTGTGGTTTACAGGCTGACTGGGTGCCAGTGGGGAACTCAAAACCATCAAACCCTAGAGAACAAATGATAACCCCATTAAAATAATTTCAATTCTCTTTTCCATTATCCCTATATAACCCCAATATATACCCAAATTATAATATAGTAGTTTCCATTATCCCTATAACCCCAATATACCCCTATAACTGCCCTATAATCCCAGTTTCCATTGAACCCCTGCATTCCAGACACCAGACCCTTTCAAGCTGGACCTGCAGCATGCCAGCATCGAAGGCATGAACCACACCCTAAGCTTTCTAACCCTGAGAAAGACTCCAAATAGGGTAGTTATAGGGGTTATATTGGGGTTATATAGGGATAATGGAAAAGAAAATGGAAACTACTCTAATGGGGTTCCTCAACCTCCTCACCCCAAGCCCTTCCGTACATGTTGGAGCGTCGAGCGTCTGCTTGGCAAGGCGGCACGCCATCGAGGCGTGTTGCAGAAGTGAACCCAGTAGTTCCACGTAGGCCTCGCAGCGGAGATGAACATCTTTTTGGAGGAGCTTAAGGTCTTGGGGCAGGGTTTAAGGTTGAGTCTTCTGTTTATGCGTGTGGTTGTTGAGGTCTAGTCTAGAAATTCGTGAGTATTGGCCCGCTATAAGACCCCAATGCCCATCATGGGGGGGGGGGGGTACTCTTTCGGGCTTATCCGGTATCATCAAACCAATGTCATAGAACGGTGCTCAGGGACGCTAATCTGCATTCTGGGGGCTACTGTGCACTTCCCCAAGAGCTCCCCAGAGACGTGGTATGCACACCTGCTGCATTCCCTCTCCTCAAAGCACCCAGAAAATTAGAGTCCCCCTTAAGTAGATAGATTATGGCTTTGGGTATGTAATAATAAGATCCCCATATACCCCATATTCTATCTATTTAAGGTGGACTATATCCCTGATCCCCCTTCATAACCCCTCTTATAGTCCCCTATATAACCCCCCTTAAGGAGTTTAGACTATACCCAGACCCCCAAAGGGATCTAAAAATTAGCTCCCCTAGAACCATATGGGTTTTTATATAAGGATTATATAGGGGTTATAATGGGTCTATATAGGGGATCTAATTTTTAGATCCTCCCAGGGGTCTGGGCAGCTCACATGAAATCACCGGCCTCGAGCTTCTTTCGCCGCCGGCATCTGGAAGTCCATAAGCCGAAGTCCTCTTCTCCCAGTTGCAGGTAGGAAAGTAAAATGGAAAGTACTATTTAGGGGTTCAGGGTTTAGGGTTTACAACCCTTCGGACTTTGCGCCTGCCTGGCTCAGCAAAGGGTTCTATACCCGGAAATTTAAGGTGGGAAAATGCATTCAGACTGACATTCATCCATCCGCATCCCTGATCAAGCTCAACCCTACCCTGCAAAGCAACCAGTGCAATTTAGGGTTTAGGGTCTAGGGTATACTCCCCCTTAAGTAGATAGAACATGAGGTATATTATTGTGGTAATATAAGGAATACTGGAAAACAAAATGGAAACCACTATAATATATTGGGGTAATATAGTAGAGGTTCTCATAAGAACACAAAGGACTTTATCCCTATATAACCCGAACAATATACCCCACATCCTATCTACTTATTGGGGACTATAACCCCTATATATACCAATACTGTAGTAGTTTTCATGTTCTCTTCCATTCTTCCCTATATAACCCCAATAGCATACCCCATATTCTATCTACTTCATGCCGCCTTCCTTCTTGACATATACACGTCTAAGGTACATGAATAGATGCCCAACAGACACCCAAGTGGGACAGCAGGGATAAGAATTGTACAGGACACCCATGGCTTCGCGGGGTTTCTACCGGAACATGATGAAGGATCCTCATGGGCACAGGTTCTTTGCAAAGGTGCTTCTGGAAAGAGATTGATCCATAAACAATGAAGATATCAAGGGCCGTGGGACAACATTTGCAATGCAACGCGCATCTACATCATCAGAAACGTTAGGGTTGCCAGCAAGCAAAAAAAATCACATCAGAAACGAGAGCTGACAGAATTGCCAAAACTCTAGACCGTACAACAATGCCCCGAAGTCCTCAACCCCAGAACCCTTAAATCAACCCTGAAACCACGAGGGCATTCCTCGAACCAGGCATAAGATAGGTGCTCGGCGATATCATCTTGCCAAAGCCTCGTGCCTTCTATTGCAGACCTGAACAGCGCTAGGATCTTGGGTTAGAGGACTAGGGTTGAGAGTTGAGGGTTTCATAATTTGGGCCTTTAGGGCCAGGCAAACGTTCAAAAAGTATGAGTTCTCGTCAACGTATCAACCCATGCAAGCATTTCCATCATCACTTTGGCTGCTGAATGACTACTGACTGCTAGCTGCTAGCAAACCATGCTGGCCGCTAATTGCCATAAGAAAGGAGCTGTTGATACAGTCTCAGGCACTCGATGGCAATGCAGACCTCCGATCTTGATGCTGCAAAAGGCAGCCCTTCAATTACAGCACGCGTAGTCTCAGCCAGCTCTGTTGCAAGACTGGTAGCCTGCCTAAGGGCATCATTCCTGCAAGGCAGAAGTTGGCTCAGGACCGCAATGAAGGCCCCGCAACAGGTCATGATGGATTGAGTCCATGGATCGGATGGGTCATCACTGAATGCTGGAGATGTAGGGTTCACGAAGGACATGGCCCAGTAGATGACATAGATCAGAGCCTTCAGAAAAACCCAGCAAAAAGAGACAACGAAGTGCAGATGTAAAGCAAATCTGGTAACTCTAATAGAACCCACTCTCTTGTCACCCTTATTGAGGCCAATCTGTATTCCAACACTGTAGACTGGGCTGGTAAACCAGCTCAAAGGTTCAGGGTAAAGGAAAGGAACGGCTAATGGGTTGCTGTTAAGGACATTAAATTAAGTTACCATAATGGGTATATATAGTAAATAATAGGGTTTCCCCAATATAGTAACTTAAAATAAGTTCCTTAACAGCAACCCATCCATCCATGCCAAATCTTTCGGTTAAGGGACAGCAAGTACA